TTGACAAGCGCCATCGTGGGGTTTACACAATTACATTCTCTCTCTCAATTACCCTGACAAGGTAACAAATTACACAAGCAAGAGTGTTAAAGACTGGCCAAATCTTGCAGGCTTACATGGTCTTAAGACTGCAAGTCTTACATGGCACAACCGCATAAGGCTCCTGTGTAAACTGGAAAATCAGGCAGGAGAACAGGAATCAGAAAAACCGGGTAAGAGGAGACCTGTTTTACTGGAGGAGGAAACAAGGAGAGGAGAAGAGTGATAAGCGGAGTGCCGCAGGGTACTCCAGACGTACTCTCACTTATTAGGTCGCATTTTGTACGGAATCGTCCACTCAGTCATAACCGGTGTCCCCCTCGCTCGACCCCCACACCGCATGCATCTTAGATCAGCGACCTTTACAAACCAAGTTATTTTCACCAGAGTACAGCAGAAGAGCTGGATTGTGCCGGCTGGGAAGGTTAAGCGTGCGCTACCGGGATAACTTGTGGTCACTCACACAAATGTCACGCCGGAGGATCCTGCCTCAGGCCCCAACACAGGATACTGCGCCTGTCTGTCTGTGTATGCCAAGCACCCTTTATGTATATATGAATACATTAATGCCTGGAGTTTATCTGGGGATGGTTCTGGGAGTTCTACCCGGACTGGGGCCAAGGCTCGACTTTTGATAAAGCAAGTCCACAAATCCACTACAACCCGGTTGGTCCGGTACTTCTTGCAGGGACTTATCTAACTGTTTCTTGAAGAAGTCCGCCTTTGTTCTGGCAATATTTCTGATTCTTGCTGGGAGAGTACTGAACATCCGTGGACGTCTGATGTTCAGACAGTGTTCTCTGACTACCTATGGCGCCTCTACTTACTGGTTCTATTCTGCATTTCTTTCCTTATCTCTCGTTCCTGTAATATTATTTGATATCCCCCTCGTCTCCTTAACAGAGTACATTCTGAGAGCTCTGAGACGGTCCCAATAATTTAGGTGTTTTATCGTGTCTATGCGTGCCAGTCTCTGTATTCCCTCTATTTCAGAAATATCTCCTGCTCTGAAGGGAGAAGTGTGTACCGAGCAGTCCTCAAGCCGGGATAACACCTGTGATTTAAATAGCATTAAAATTGTGTTGGGGTCCCTGGATTTGAACGTTCCCATAATCCATCTTATCATTTTCCTGGCTGATGTTATATTTGCTCGGCTATGTTCACTAAATGTCAGGTCGTCAGACATCATAATTCCCAGATATTTTACATGTTGCTTTCCTTCTGTAAGTAGATCTGACTGTATCTTGTACCCTGTGTTTCGTTTGAGACCTTCACTTCTGCCATACCTAAGTACTTGGAAATTATTACTGTTAAACATCGTGTTATTTTCCGTTGCCCAATCGAAGACTTTATTTATCAGCTTGTAGTTTTTCAGTGTCTTCTAAAGAAGTTTTCTGTCCATGCTGATTTTTGTGTCATCCGCAAAAGATGACACGAAGCTGTGACTTGTCTTTCAGTTTATATCTGATATGAGTGAGAAAGAACAGTGGTGCCAGGACTGTGCCCAGAGGTACAACACATTTCACTGCGTTTGGACTTGATTTGATTTGATCGATTGTTATTTATTTGCCTTCTGTTTGACAGAAAATGTAAAATCCAACGCCTCACTTTAACCGTTATTCCTTTTGATCTCATTTCATGGGTCATCACTCCAAGGTCACACTTCAACACACGAGTACAGTGTTAGCTCGCAGCCACACCCGGCTACCTTACCATAGTCCCCCGTGGTTACTTAGTGTTGATTATATGGATCAACTTTCCCCACGGTGGATCCTGTCAACGGTAGTTTATTGTGCACCCCATACTCGTCCTGTGAGCGGTAGTTTATTGTGCACCCCATACTCATCCTGTGAGCGGTAGTTTATTGTGCACCCCATACTCATCCTGTGAGCGGTAGTTTATTGTGCACCCCATACTCATCCTGTGAGCGGTAGTTTATTGTGCACCCCATACTCATCCTGTGAGCGGTAGTTTATTGTGCACCCCATACTCATCCTGTGAGTGGTAGTTTATTGTGCACCCCATACTCATCCTGTGAGCGGTAGTTTATTGTGCACCCCATACTCATCCTGTGAGCGGTAGTTTATTGTGCACCCCATACTCATCCTGTGAGCGGTAGTTTATTGTGCACCCCATACACATCCTGTGAGTGGTAGTTTATTGTGCACCCCATACTCATCCTGTGAGCGGTAGTTTATTGTGCACCCCATACACATCCTGTGAGTGGTAGTTTATTGTGCACCCCATACTCATCCTGTGAGCGGTAGTTTATTGTGCACCCCATACACATCCTGTGAGTGGTAGTTTATTGTGCACCCCATACTCATCCTGTGAGCGGTAGTTTATTGTGCACCCCATACTCATCCTGTGAGCGGTAGTTTATTGTGCACCCCATACTCATCCTGTGAGCGGTAGTTTATTGTGCACCCCATACTCATCCTGTGAGTGGTAGTTTATTGTGCACCCCATACTCATCCTGTGAGTGGTAGTTTATTGTGCACCCCATACTTATCCTGTGAGCGGTAGTTTATTGTGCACCCCATACTCATCCTGTGAGCGGTAGTTTATTGTGCACCCCATACTCATCCTGTGAGCGGTAGTTTATTGTGCACCCCATACTCATCCTGTGAGCGGTAGTTTATTGTGCACCCCATACTCATCCTGTGAGTGGTAGTTTATTGTGCACCCCATACACATCCTGTGAGTGGTAAGGTAAGGTAATTATCAGGAACGCTAAGCCTTTACAACTATGTATTTCTTAGAAGGGATATGAGGATAAGGCTTTAAGATAGGACGGAGGAAAGGAAAGGTGCCCAACCACTTCGACGCTCGGGGGACTGAGCCCCGCCCCTGCAAGAAGCCAGTCCGCCGCTTTACCGATCGATCCAAGTGGTTGGTCCAGGTGTAATTTTCTTTGAAGACTCCATAGTACTGGCAGGTGGACGAGGGCGGGTGTGGAGACAACACACCTGCAGCAGGTGTGGGGATCACAGTCTGGCCACGGGAGGAAAAAGCTTGGTTATCAACTGGAGTGAACCAGCTGCTGCTGGTGGTGGTGCTGGTGCTGCTGGTGGTGATGCTGGTGCTGCTGGTGCTGCTGCTGGTGCTTCTGGGTGCTGCTGGTGGTACTGGTGGTACTGGTGCTGCTGGTCCTGCTGCTGGTGCTGCTGGTGCTGCTGCTGGTGCTTCTGGGTGCTGCTGGTGGTACTGGTGCTGCTGGTCCTGCTGCTGGTGCTGCTGCTGGTGCTTCTGGGTGCTGCTGGTGCTGCTGCTGGGTGCAGCTGGTGGTGGTGCTGCTGCTGCTGGGTGCTGCTGCTGGGTGCTGCTGCTGGGTGCTGCTGCTGGTGCTGCTGGTGGTACTGGTGGTGGTGCTGCTGCTGGTGCTTCTGAGTGCTGCTGGGTGCTGCTGGTGCTGCTGCTGGTGGTACTGGTGGTGGTGGTGCTGCTGGTGCTTCTGAGTGCTGCTGGTGCTTCTGAGTGCTGCTGGGTGCTGCTGGTGCTGCTGGTGGTGGTGGTGCTGCTGGTGCTTCTGGGTGCTGCTGGTGCTTCTGAGTGCTGCTGGGTGCTGCTGGTGCTGCTGCTGGTGGTACTGGTGGTGGTGGTGCTGCTGGTGCTTCTGAGTGCTGCTGGGTGCTGCTGGTGCTGCTGCTGTTTGTCCTGCTGCTGCTGGTGCTTCTGGGTGCTGATCCTACTGATGCTGCTAGGTGGTGGTGCTGCTGCTGGTGCTGCTGCTGGTGCTGCTGCTGCTGGGTGGTGGTGGTGCTGCTGCTAGGTGGTGGTGGTGGTGCTGCTGCTGCTGGGTGGTGGTGCTGCTGCTGCTGGGTGGTGGTGCTGCTGCTGCTGGGTGGTGGTGCTGCTGCAGCTGCTGCTGCTGCTGCTGGGTGGTGGTGCTGCTGCTGGGTGGTGGTGCTGCTGCTGCTGGGTGGTGGTGCTGCTGCTGGGTGGTGGTGCTGCTGCTGCTGGGTGGTGGTGCTGCTGCTGCTGGGTGGTGGTGCTGCTGCTGGGTGGTGGTGCTGCTGCTGCTGGGTGGTGGTGCTGCTGCTGCTGCTGCTGGGTGGTGGTGCTGCTGCTGCTGCTGCTGGGTGGTGGTGCTGCTGCTGCTGCTGGGTGGTGGTGCTGCTGCTGCTGCTGCTGGGTGGTGGTGCTGCTGCTGCTGCTGGGTGGTGGTGCTGCTGCTGCTGCTGGGTGGTGGTGCTGCTGCTGGGTGGTGGTGCTGCTGCTGGGTGGTGGTGCTGCTGCTGGGTGGTGATGCTGCTGCTGGGTGGTGGTGCTGCTGCTGGGTGGTGGTGCTGCTGCTGGGTGCTGCTGGTGCTGCTGCTGGGTGGTGGTGCTGCTGCTGGGTGCTGCTGGTGCTGCTGCTGGGTGGTGGTGCTGCTGCTGGGTGGTGGTGCTGCTGCTGGGTGCTGCTGGTGCTGCTGGTGCTGCTGGGTGGTGGTGCTACTGGTGCTGCTGGTGCTACTGGTGCTACTGGTGCTGCTGGTGCTACTGGTGCTACTGGTGCTACTGGTGCTACTGGTGCTGCTGGTGCTACTGGTGCTACTGCTGCTGCTGCTGGTACTGCTGCTGCTGCTGGTACTGCTGCTGGTGCTACTGCTGCTGCTGGTGCTACTGCTGCTGCTGCTGGGTGCTGCTGGTGGTGCTGCTGCTGGTGGTGGTGCTGCTGCTGGTGGTGGTGCTGCTGCTGGTGGTGGTGCTGCTGCTGGTGGTGTACAAACACCTTCCACAATAAGACGCGTCGCTGTCTTCCCTCCACATTATTTGCACCATTCCCACATGAACGTCGACCACGCCCACCCTCGCTGGCTCATTCACTCACACTCACAACACTCACCCGCCGAGGCCCTCAGACCCAGACCAGCTCCACCAGCCCAGCCCCAGCGACCCCCCCCCTCCCCCCTACCAGCCCGGTCACGCCCGGCCCTCTCACCGTCCTCTTACCTCACTACAACCACCCTCCCCAGCCCACCTCCACATCACCAGCCCACCTCTACATCACCAGCCCACCTCCACATCCCCAGCCCACCTCCACATCCCCAGCCCACCTCTACATCACCAGCCCACCTCCACATCCCCAGCCCACCTCTACATCACCAGCCCACCTCCACATCCCCAGCCCACCTCCACATCACCAGCCCACCTCTACATCACCAGCCCACCTCCACATCACCAGCCCACCTCCACATCACCAGCCCACGTCTACATCCCCAGCCCACCTCTACATCACCAGCCCACCTCCACATCACCAGCCCACCTCCACATCACCAGCCCACCTCCACATCACCAGCCCACCTCTACATCACCAGCCCACCTCTACATCACCAGCCCACCTCCACATCACCAGCCCCCTGTACATCACCAGCCCACCTCTACATCACCAGCCCACCTCCACATCACCAGCCCACCTCAACATCACCAGCCCACCTCCACATCACCAGCCCACCTCCACATCACCAGCCCACCTCTACATCACCAGCCCACCTCCACATCACCAGCCCACCTCCACATCACCAGCCCACCTCCACAACACCAGCCCACCTCAACATCACCAGCCCACCTCCACATCACCAGCCCACCTCCACATCACCAGCCCACCTCCACATCACCAGCCCACCTCCACAACACCAGCCCACCTCCACAACACCAGCCCACCTCCACAACACCAGCCCACCTCCACAACACCAGCCCACCTCCACATCACCAGCCCACCTCCACAACACCAGCCCACCTCCACATCACCAGCCCACCTCCACATCACCAGCCCACCTCAACATCACCAGCCCACCTCAACATCACCAGCCCACCTCCACAACACCAGCCCACCTCCACAACACCAGCCCACCTCCACATCACCAGCCCACCTCCACATCACCAGCCCACCTCCACATCACCAGCCCACCTCAACATCACCAGCCCACCTCAACATCACCAGCACACCTCCACAACACCAGCCCACCTCCACAACACCAGCCCACCTCCACATCACCAGCCCACCTCCACAACACCAGCCCACCTCCACATCACCAGCCCACCTCCACATCACCAGCCCACCTCCACATCACCAGCCCACCTCCACAACACCAGCCCACCTCCACATCCCCAGCCCACCTCCACAACACCAGCCCACCTCCACATCACCAGCCCACCTCCACAACACCAGCCCACCTCCACATCCCCAGCCCACCTCCACATCACCAGCCCACCTCCACAACACCAGCCCACCTCCACATCACCAGCCCACCTCCACAACACCAGCCCACCTCCACATCACCAGCCCACCTCCACATCACTAGCCCACCTCCACATCCCCAGCCCACCTCCACATCACCAGCCCACCTCCACATCACCAGCCCACCTCCACATCACCAGCCCACCTCCACATCACCAGCCCACCACAATCCCTCATGGTGAAGCACAGTCCACCACCCTTGCCCACATGCTGGGAACAAATGCATCTCAACAAGGGGGCGTCTGTGCCTGTATGGTGGTGTGTATCTCCCACGTGGAGCTCAGCAGCAGTACTGGTCGCCAGCCACGCAGCCTGTGCAACATTTGGCTGTGATCTTCACTCTGATTATTCTTAATGTCACCAATTTTAGCAATTACTTTCTAAGTGCCCATAACGTCTTTAAATATGAATGCGGGAGCTGCATCTCGTCTGCCTAGATACCATGTCTGCCTAGATACCTTGTCTGCCTAGATACCTTGTGTTATGACCCCGTGTAGCCTGGTGGAACGAGTCTACCCAGTGAGAGTTATTCTGCCGCCCGGACCTGAGTGAGAGGTCAGAGGAAAGATGTATATATTAATATATATACACAATATACATGTATATATTAAATATATATAATAGTCGTCAGTGAATAATTTAAAATATGAGCAGAGGATGAGCATTTACATAAATAACATGAAATGAGATGTAGATACTTTGGAGACGTGAAGTGATGCTACGAGGAGGTCGTGACCTCACTTGAGTTACAACAGTCGTCAGAGATGGTGTGTACGTCGTGATCTCCTGGGAGAAGGAAGGGTATAGTTCTCTGTGTTAGTGGTGGAGCGAAGACTACTTGATGGCAAGTGTGAGGAAACTGTAGGGGAACTTCGTAAACCATTTCTCTGTGATTTTGATAAATTAGCGGCGACCTGGAAGTGTGTGTCGGTCGCTCCTTTGTGGAACTCTAATTGTGTTGCTTCTTCGAGAGGAAGGAAGCAAGTGTTTCTGTTGTGGCGCCTGCTGGGCAACTCCGTGTACTCAAATCTGGACCAGAAGAGCTGTGAGGCAGTCTTAATGAAACTTTGTTAGAGGTCTTAGAGGACGCCATCTTGGAGGGCCGGAGTTGAACGCCCTCGAGCTACGAATTCTGCGGTAAGCTCATGTAGCAGTTGTTATAGTGGTGGCCTGTGCTTGTGTGCCAGCGATCATGGCGAGTGTTTATGTATGTAGGATGTACATTTTTATTGTGGCAGTGAGCTAAAATAGACGGTTAGAAATATGAGAACATTCTGGAGGGAGGAGTGGTACGTCCTCCCTCGCCGATGGTCAAGTGCTGACTGAGGGGCGTCGCGACCAGGGCGGCGGCCCCAGCGACGGGTCAAGACATATTCTCAGTGTGGACTCGTCCATTATGGGGGAGTACCAGTGCCGTGACACATTAGTGTTTAAGGGATGTCAAAAGAAGGAGTTTTTTGGAGGAGCTTCACTGACATTCAAGGAGGACTTCATGTACAGCTGACTGGAGGAACTGCAGGAGTACCTCACTTGATATCTTGAGGACCCTAATTGAGGATTGTACTAGGGGGGACCTCGAGTAATGGAACAGAATTTTCCGGACACGTTGAGGTTTAAGGGAGTGCTTGATTGCGTTTGGACATGAAAGGCGCAGTGCAAGGTGAAAGATTGATGCTTTTGTAGAGTAGGAAATATGTGAATATTTTATGTGCCAAGTATTACAGCCTAAATCAGTAAAGGGAGCAGAAGGTTGTAGGCTGAAGTTTAAGCAGCAGCCTGATACAGTTATAGGGTGGGGACATAAGGCGATATTGGAGTGTTATCTATTGGTAGCAGACTAAGAGGTTTCATTTGTTATATCTATTCCTGTATGTTCTTATGTATTAAATGTTATATTTGTTAGCTGCCTTTTGCTCTTATCCTGGTGAGGCTTCCTGGCTAGAGAGACGGAGAGAATGACATGGCTATAATTTGGGTGACAGTTGACTACATGTAACTAAGGGGGATTGAGAGATCATCCCACAGTAAGGAGAGTGCGGGGAGACATGGCGGCGCAAGAGCGGGTGTGTACCCATGACAACTAGGCAGTGTGAGCCGTACCCCTGAAATAAATGTGACACTGAACCCCTCTCCCAGAACCAGACGCTTACCACGTGATCTCCCAAATAATTAGAAGCACTCCAGTGTCCATTGCTGGTCGATCGAAGGTGTTACTAGCGAGGTCGACTGTTTGTTGCGTCCGGGAGTGGTTGGGGTCTCTGAGAAGCAAGTGTCAGGTTGGTTGAACATAACCAAGTTTCATTGTACAACAACCCCCCCCCCCCCAATACTTGTCTGCCTAAATACTTTGTCTGCCTAGATATCTTTGCACTGACGTCACGATGGTGAGTCAAACGACGCTGTGATCAAATTATGTCTGCAGTTTTAAATGCGAAGATTATCAGGAGAATGTACTAAGCCCAATATAGCACTTGGAAGGGATATGATGAAATGAGGAGGGAAGGGTGCTCAACCACTTCGACATTCGGGAATTGAACGTCGACCCAGTAAGAGGAGTGGGTGTCATACTACATGTAATTCAAATTGGTTGGGTTGTGATTACTGAGCTGCAATGACACATGACAGTTAAATATTTCATGCTGATACAAATATCTTAATTTTCAACGCAATAACCCGTATAAAGTTCATCCATCTATAGAACCACTTATTTTGTTGAATGGGAGCAGTAGAACAACAGAAGTACACCTCCATCGCATCAGGCTTGGATACCTAAGCATGGGAAATAGGCTTACAGACTCCAGAATATGAGAGGAAATGCCAGCACTGTGGAGAAATGCCTGGCAGATCACTTTTTTTTTAGGGGGGGGGAGTAAAGAGGAAGGAGAGGCATAGGTGAAGGGAAGTATAGAAGAGGTCTATGGTCTTACCATAGAGGTCTTATGGAAGAGGTCTTACAGATCACTGGAACATTATCTGATAGAGTGCACAGTTATAAACCCAATAAGATTTCATCTAGGATTCAAAAGAGCAGAACTTGTTAAACACATTGGGCATAATCTTACTGAAGCGACCATACGAGTCATAAATACTCACACTCCCCCTGAGTAAAGCAGAAACAAGAAACAATTAGTTATATATATATATATATATATATATATATATATATATATATATATATATATATATATATATATATTACATATATATATACACACACATACATTACAAGCATTGGTACGGAGTCTTGAAGTGTCCGTACCAATATAGAAGCATCAAGAGAAAGTAAGGGCCAATAAGCCCTTTGCAGTTACTTCCATTCTTCCCTCTCATTTGTCCAATTAATACCTATTGTACCGTGTTCTGTCTTGTGTTGGTCAAAAGTTTGTTCACCTCATCCAAAACTGTTGCAACATATCACCTCACCCAAATGCGAGTATATAAGACAAGCTGTTTAGTGTTAGCATAATAAAACTCTGTTTAGTGTTTTCAGGTTACAGTTGTGTGTGTGTGTGTGTGTGTGTGTGTGTGTAAACTTTTTCTTTGAAAAGTCTTTGAAAATGTAATAAGTTATTACGAAACACGTTCAAGTGTCGCGTCAGACTAGAAATAAAAATGAATTTTGGAGAATTGATTTTTCAATTACCATCGACAGTAAAAACATAAGAAATATTGAGAAAATTCGTGTTAGAATTATTAATCTTACTTTTTCGGTCATATTTAACAACATATGTTTACAAGAAAGACTGCAACCAAAATATACTAATTTATATATATATATATATATATATATATATATATATATATATATATATATATATATATATATATATATATATATATATGCGAACAAGCCTGAATGGTCCCCAGGCATACATGCAACTGAAAACTCACACCCCAGAAGTGACTCGAACCCATACTGCCAGGAGCACTATGCAACTGGTGTACAAGGCACCTTATCCACTCGACCATCACGACAGTGGTTCGAGTCACTTCTGGGGTGTGAGTTTTCAGTTTTATATATATATATATATATATATATATATATATATATATATATATATATATATATATATATATATATGTCGTACCTAGTAGCCAGAACGCACTTCTCAGCCTACTATGCAAGGCCCGATTTGCCTAATAAGCCTAGTTTTCATGAATTAATGTTTTTTCGACTACCTAACCTACCTAACCTAACCTAATATTTTCGGCTACCTAACCTAACCTAACCTAATATTTTCGGCTACCTAACCTAACCTAACCTATAAAGATAGGTTAGGTTAGGTAGGGTTGGTTAGGTTCGGTCATATATCTACGTTAATTTTAACTCCAATAAAAAAAATTTCCCTCATACATAATGAAATGGGTAGCTTTATCATTTCATAAGAAAAAAATTAG